AGAGGTATTTTCGTGAAATTGGCTTCTTCATTTAGAGTGTAGACAGTAGTTGTTATTTCATGTGTGATGTTGACGATCAGTTGCACAGTTCAATTGAACTTTTCTTCCCAAAACTTCAAGAAAAATCCTATGCGCCACCCAGCCCTACTTTGCCTAAATTATGTAAAGTTCAGTAGCAAACTGACTTAGCAAAACCTCTCTATTATGAGTGTAACATACAAAACTTAGGCGCTGTACCTCCGTACTTGTATATATAAAATAATTCCCTAGGTTTTACTTTCCCACCCTTTAGAACCCTCTGTATGAGCTGGCTGAAGAATTATTGAGAGGGTTATGGTTGGTACATTGGTCTTGGTGCAATTTCTGATGATTTTGTATGGGAAATGGGAAGGCTTGGCGTTGTTTTCAACTTGAACTTTACAATATTCCATGAGTGCTTTTGGAGATATTTGAAAGAGTTTTGGATTATTATATAGTTTTTTAATTTTTTTTTACAGCTTCAGAATGTATTGAATTGAAAGCGTGAAGGAGCATGGTTTGGGTTGTTACATGCCGTTCTGCTCATCATTTTTGTCACCAGCCTGGTACCGGTACCGGTACAATACCGTACGGCGCTCGAGGACCTCCCAGTAAGGTCTGTGTTATTTTTCTTTTCATTTGTCTCAGTCAGGTGAGATTCCCTTCTCACCCCGTTTCTCTCCCCAACCCCTGACCCCTGGGTGGCCAGGGGGAGAAGTTCTGGATATCCCAGCCTCGTCATTCCCACTTACCGTATTCCGGCTTTTATGCTACCGGTGCTCGAGCACGCCAAGGAATTCTTTCGCCGGAGCTCCCGACCCCACCAAGTGCCCAACCTCATACTGCTAAGGATCCTCGACACCAGCCCTAATTCCAGTTTTCTGTACGAGTACTCTATTCTCCGATAAGAAGCAAAAAGTTACAAGTATTTTAAAAATGTTGACTCCTGAGTGGGCTATGGGTTCAAAGTCAGGTGTAGTCGTATGATACCTAGACGTTGCGAGCAGTTATTTGCTGTTAAAAATCGCCAAGAAGCAAGTTCATTTGCCAAGAAAGAAGAATTATCTGATGATTAACTGTATTTGGCCGTTGATTAACATGCGTTGTCAAGCAATATGAATGGCGTTCATGCTCTAGTAACATCTGGCATTTGATCCTTCCTCTCTTTGTTTTGCAACATCAGAATTCCTGATGCGGGGATATCGTTTTGGTCACCGGTAGGTGTATCGCCGACTTGGGTGCTTGTGGTGGTAGACATTGCCTCGGTGATAGGGCTTAGATTGACACAATACGAGTACAGTCCTCGAGCACAGTCGATTGGCCCCTTAAAATCCGCGAAGCGCGACTAAGCCACCGCAGACCTGTGCGGATGAGCACTCGAGTACAAGTGTTTGTATCCTCTGGCGGAGGTGGCAAGTAGAATGCCATAAGGGCTCCCGTTGGTGGAAGGGATGTGCGGTGACATCCCATCTCCGGGTACGGCGGAACACGAGATATGGTAGGCAGGGGCGCCAGGGAATACTGGTGACGAGTGCTGTACGAGTACGTACGCAGTAGAGACTGCGGTGCTGTTAGCTTCAGCTAGGGGTGGTTGGATTCTGTTGAAAGTCCCAGGAATATGCTGCTTATGGTACCGGTACCGGTACTTCCGAGCTGCCCAAAAACGGCCATTACCCCACAATGCAATACCACCGTAAAATCTCACGCATAACGAACACGGCCAAGCTGATTGATATGGCGCCTCTATAACACATGAGCTTGAGTGCTCGATTGCGATGTGTGCCGGTGCGGGGCATTGCGGCCGTTGGTCAAGGGAGATCCGTGAAAGTCTCCGGCGAAGAAAAGGGGGATGCTGGAACACTATACCCTGGTCTGGGGGCGGATTTATGTTTGCCCAAGTCCCGCCGCAAAGAAAGCTCCGAAAAAACATCACACAAGGGCAGTGACCCACTAACCGGAACAGCCAGGGACGCACCGGCACTCCGCCGAGCACCCTCAAGCAGAGGTCTAGTCCGTCTAGGACGGAGTCAGGACGACAAAGGACGGGACCGGATGGTACCATATTACTCTATTTTGTTTATTTATTCACTTATTAATTTTACATTTAAATTTATTCTAACCCGTTTAACTGGGAGCAACCGCCCTCAAGTAACTGTTCCATAACTTCTTGCTTGACCCTGGTACAACTACTCGACCGAATTGAACCGGTTAAAGATTGCCGGTACCGGTATTCAACTGCTATCGTGAAGGTACGAGTGCGGCCGATAGATATATTCGTCACGTGCAAGGATATATAAAGCAGCATGTTGCAACCGGGGAGAAACTCAACACCATAAATTTAAAACTCATGATACTTCAAACGGAACTGCAATGAAATATGAAATAAAAAATGAGCCACGAAAATTGTTATCCCCCTTGTTTTTGATCACAAGCTCCAACTTATTCCTAAGATCTAAACAGTGATGATTAATGAGACCAATTGGAATTTTCTCCCACTCTAATACTAAAGCCATTTTTACTTGCTCCTTTGTAGCATGACTCTCACCTTTGAACTTGTACTCCTCCAATGAATCTTTTAAATAGTCCCAAAGAGGCTCTATTTTATTCAAATCTGGGGACTGGGCAGGCCAATCAACAGTATGTATGCTCAGCTTTTGTCGTTCATTCTCTCCTAATTGCTGAGCAGTGCCATGTGCAGGAGCATTATCCTCGATGGCCCAAATCTCGTGTCCCGTTTCTTGCTCGACCTGTTGCAAAAATGGAAAATAGTATGGTTGTAATATTTTCTCCCAATATAAAACCCAATCAATACCCCCATGGCTTCTATCTCCACACTCTTTTATAAGTTCCTTGAACTCCCATTCTGGTCGTCGTTTTTGCCTCAGATAGCCTGATGGGAGGGGGTTGGTCTGGTCTAATCTTTGTAGATTAGAATTCAAATCCTCCAGAAATTTAAACTCTGCTGTCCCTTCAATTCGTACCTGTCCTCACCTGTGGTCTTGCTTTAATCTCTTTACTTTATTTTCAGTCTCAATCATGTCATTCAAGTACTTCTTCTCTTCTGTTGTTTCCTTTTCCCAGACAAAACAAGGCCCATGATATCCATAGGCCATACAGCCCTAAAACATGAGCCTAATTCCAGCTGGCTCAAATTTATGGCTACTGTAATCAAAGGGGTTTGAACCACGAGGTCGTGAAATGTTTGGAGACCATCGGGGGTGACCAATTTCTACCCATATTTCATCTGAATAGGCAAAACAACTATTAAAAAGTACTGTAAGAGTTTCATGTATTTAAAAACTTATATTGTAAGAATATATCACAATAATACAGATACCTCGCTGTCCTATATAAAATACTGTTATTTCAAAAACGTTTTACTGCAAAACCTACCCTGATGTTCCAGATTACTTGTTATACTGAACAGATTCTTCGAATTTTGATCATCCAGGATAGCAAGGTACAACTGTAAAAGGAATAGAAAGAAAAAAAACAACAAATTGAATGGAAAGAGAAGAAATGATATAACTACCGAGGATCTTTCTGAATTGCCTAAAAGGCAAAATTCAACTGACCTTCTTTATGATACATATTAAGTGGGGGCTTCGGCTGCGAAGGAGGAAAGCGGTATATATTATGGTAATTGTGCATAACACTTTCAATTGTCAATCGAGCAGCTTTGATTCCTAACTCTTTTGCTAACTCAGGAAAGGTTTTCGTATAACCCTCAGGTCTACTTTAAGATGCTGTTTTGAGAGCGAGTGATTTTTCTGAATTCTCTGGGATAATCTCAGGCCGGCCTGGACAGTCAAAACTTCTCAAAACAGCGTACAGGTCTTGAAAGTCGCTTGGATCACTTGCACGATCCTATATTTTTCAATCAAGTCAGTTCTCTAATTAATTGAGTTTCTCTTTTTTGCTGCTGAGTACTCTAATTAGGTAGTAACTGTTAATGATTTATTACCTTGGCTTTAATACAAATTTGTCAAGCAGAGTCAGGATAGACGCAAAGACAACTTGAAATCTCATTCCAAGTCTTCTCGGTAAAGAGGTGCAAGGTCAGAATTGCACAATGCATTTCGAGAGATATCTCACTCGCTCCATATGCACAGCCCATAATTGGTATTGCAAAAGAACAATAGTGGCAGGAAATGGATGATAGATACAGGAGATTGGGAATGATAATATGGTAATTGGCAGGAGTTGCTCTCATGATGAAATCATCAGAATTGCGATCCTGCTGGTTGCCAACTTGCCGCTATATACCACATATCACATGACGAATATATCTATCGGCCGCACTCGTACTTGGAGTCGTGCCGATAGTATAAGACCTTGTTCGAGTCTGTGCCGCAGGTTGCCCTCAGCCTCGGGCTCTATGGTGGAAGACGTCCGTGCTCGTAGCCCGGGAGGACTTTGCCAAGAAAATATTGTCCAACTTCAACAGCCAAGGGTTCTCAACCACTATTCTAATGGGAATTAGGCTCTGTTACATGATAGGATGGACAATCCTCTACATATTAATAGAGGAAAGATAGGAATATCCCAAGTTTCCATGGAGATAGTGGTGTTTGCAAGTAGGTCGAAATTGTTTAATGATACCAGTGGGGAATATCAGGGACATGTTAATCACTGTTAATTTACTTGGCAAATATCAGTGGATAGATATGATATTTTCCAAAGTGCCAGTATTAACTTGCAGCGAGGCTGCCACTGGCGAATTGAGATACTATTACTAAACCGAGGTGAAAATCCGCCTTTTGAGGTTACCGGTGTTATAGAGAGGTTCTTCATAGCAGACTTGAGTGCGGGTATCATACGAGTAAAGTTAAGAGGCAGGTCAGGCACAGTCAACGGGGCCGCCCGGCGGACCCTTGCACTTGCTGCCAAAGTTTGGTAACACACACCCAGGGGGGAGCTGCCTAATCCAAATTAGCTTTCCAGTTTAACCCCTTGGCTTCAACATCACCACCTTTGGGCCAGCATAACAAGGAACCCCATCCAGCAGCTCCTCCACCACAGATTGCTACGCCAAAAAGCCACAGAACGGGGGATTCTATCTCACTTTCACCGCAGGACCTCCTGCGGATTCCTTGGCACGTGTGCCATCGCCAGAAACGGGTGACAGAGAGACAGCAGGGCTAGAAGAGAAACAGAGGAAAAGGCAGAAGGCTATAATCGACACCAGTTTACTGTCGTAACCGAAAGGCCACCACCCGTCTTTACTGTTATTTTTTTTAAAAAAAATCTGTCCTCTACCTCTCCTAGCACATCCACCATCTACGTCTACTCGAGTACAGGTTGCTGCCGTATTCCTCGCCATCTTTTCTCCGTTTTCCCCTCGTTTTGCCGCTGCTCAGCCTCTGCCCACAGTTTCGACGGCGACACATCCGCCTGGAATCTTGGGATTTTGCTCCAGGAGTCCGTTTGGTTGCCCTATCCTGCTTCCCCTACGGGTCTAAATCTCATCCGCACTCCGCCCGTTGAAACCATTCCAATTATGGTATCCGAAACCTTGGAGGGAATGCCCTCCTTCATGGGCATGTCCATGAAACACCTTTCACTCATCACCGTACGCATGCTCTTTTCACAAGATTGAGTGGCTCCGTGAAGCTACAGCTAACGATCAGTCGATGGCGCTCAAAACAGTTGACTTTTCAAAATTCAGCCCTCATTCTCGTATGTACCCATTTCCCATTTCCCGTCCTCCCGAAGATCTGTCCCTTGCACGCATGCTTATGTGACCGACCAACCGATATCAGATAATGCATTACTCCCGAATTATGCCAAAGACGTCTGCAAACCGGTATTTTACTTCGACGGCGGTATTTCTCAATGAAGTGTTGAAGCTGTCGATATCCATATGGGTTGCTTACCTTGAACGGCGGAAGGTCGATGGCCCGAAAGTCCCCGTTGCGAAGTCTATAAAGCACCTATGCGGTGATGTGTTTCGGCCGGATAACTGGAAGTTGGCTATCCCGGCATGTCTGTACACTCTGCAGAACAGCCTGCAGTACATTGCCGTATCAAATTTGGATGCTGCGACATTCCAAGTTACCTACCAGCTCAAGATCCTGACCACTGCGCTTTTCAGCGTTTTGATGCTGCACAGGAATCTGAATGCCAAGAAATGGGCATCCTTGATCATGTTGACTGTTGGTATCGCAATTGTCCAATTGCCTGCAGCAGCAAAGTCTATTCCGGATAACGTCTCTGAATCGACTTCGATGTCTTCGGAATCCAAGGTGCTCCGTCGTTCAGCAACATACGAGGGGATCGGTGAGGACACCATGGAGCCAGAGATGAATCGGGCAATCGGTTTAATAGCTGTAGCCGTGGCATGCACAATCTCTGGTTTGGCGGGCGTGTACTTTGAAAAGGTTCTCAAAGGGTCAAACACCACCCTCTGGGTCCGCAACGTTCAGCTGTCATTCTACTCCCTCTTTCCGGCATTCTTCATTGGCGTTGTAGCAAAGGACGGTCGAGAAATTCTAGAAAGAGGCTTCTTCGATGGATACAACAACGTCGTCTGGTCTGCCATCGGATTCCAAGCGTTCGGTGGAATAGTGGTAGCGCTGTGCGTAAACTACGCAGATAACATTGCAAAGAACTTTGCTACGAGTATAAGCATCCTCCTAAGTTTTATTGCTAGTATCTATTGTTTTGACTTTGAAGTTACTATTGGAGTAGGTTGCCCCTCGTCCCCTTAGTATATGTATTCACCATTTGCTAACCAGATCAACAGTTCATGATCGGCGCCAGCATCGTGCTGTTCGCGACGTGGCTCTACTCCGCTCCGGACGGATTAATCCCCAAATGGAAGCAAGAGTACATCCCGTTGGAGCAGGCCGATCCAAAGTCCGATCACGACGGCAAGGGTCATGAAGGAGAAGAGATAGTGGGGAAGAGTTCTATCGATGGGCTGAAGAGGTCTGATTAATCGACTCATTAATTAACTTGGCAGTAGTGTACGAGAAGGGCTATGGAGAGGACGGGGCTGGCGACCCCTTTTTTTCATGGGTTATGTGATGTGCATGTATATAATATGTCTTGGGCATGTAAATTGTTGTGTTCTGTCTAGAACGGAGGGGGTACCCGAGGTGTAGGATAAAGATAATTAATGTCGTGGGAGAGGGAAGGCGGGGCGAGTGGGGGCGTGCAGTGGAGGTGTCGGGGGAGAAGATAACTATGATATCTCAGACTAGCATATAATGGAGTTTCTTTCCTTCCTTTCCTTCCGCTCCCTGGATCTCTATCTCTAAATACGTAATCCGCTGCCACCTACAGCATAGGTATCATTTCGGTATCAAGCAACCCCAATCCAACTCGGCCCACAACCATTAAACCACTTCCTCCCCCTCCTCCTTCTCCCTTGCCCCGTCAAACCCCCTATCCCGCCTCCATCTCCTAACCCCTTCATCAACCAACCCACAACCGACCCCGGCGGCCCCAACAAGGACAAACGAAACCCCCAACTCACAAACATCCCTATTCCTACGCTCGTCATCGAAGAACAGCATATCCCGAAACTCCACGCCGCTCTTTTCGCGCAGCCGGCGCATATGCCTAACCTTACTGCCGGGGTAAATCTCGACGAAGTCGAACAACTGCCGCAAGCCGTAGAGGCCGAGCGCCTGCAGCGCGAGCTCGGGTGCCTGCGAGCGGGATGCCACGGCTAGTTTTACGCCGGAGGCGGCGGCGGTGGAGAGGTGGGTCAGCAGGGGCAGAGTTGTGGAGAAGAGAGGGTATGGGGTTGCGGTTGCGTCGTGGAGAGTTAGCGGTGGAGTTGTGGAGGGGGTGAGGGAGAGGGGTGGGGTCGGGTGCGTGTCTATCCAGTAGGGCCAGAGGGTGTAGTCCAGGTCGAATACTATGAGCTTTGGAAGGGGGTGTTGGTCCGTTAGCGTTTTTGGGGGGTCCATTTTTTGGGAGCGGGCGTGGGTGGCTTGGGGGTGTTGGTTGGTTCGGGGCGGGTGCTGTGGGTGTGGAGTGGAGTTTGGCTAGGTGTCTCACGTGATTGTTGATAAGGGGAGAAGTTGCATGGATGGATGGGGTGGGGTGGAAATGATTATTTTTGGGTTGTGTTCACTGACAGTGATGGGTGAGGTTCCGCTCGCTAGGGAGGTGGTAATAGGCGGTATGGATATACATATTACGGCTCTCTTGCATCTCCATTTACTTGCCGCCTTTCTCTTCCCTTCCATCCTTCCATGCAACTTCTCCACGGTTCGTTCCGGGGCAGGCCTCACCTCACCACATTCCCTACCCTACATACACACTGCAGTATGGTACCGTATGGTACCGGTACTATGCCTTGCAAAAATGAACTCCACACCGCCCTCTGTTGAAGCCAGGCCGGCAAACAAGGATAATATGTTGAAGCCCTCTCTACAGCCCAAAAACCCGCACACTCAGCCCTCCTCCTAACAACCCTCGAACCCACCCCAACCCCCAGCCTAGCACACATCGCCTGCCTCGAACACTTAACCCATCAACTCTGAACATTGCGGGGAAAAAATACCTGGAAAGCCCCTGCCGCGATGTAGGCCTCTCATACTCTCGTCCGGTAGCCAACATCGGCGGGCCAGTCCAGGTGTTTAACGACTGTAGCTCACGCATTACTGTATAATCTAAATATAGCGTTAGGAGTGATTGGGACTTTTTTTTTTTTGTCCGGGTTTTTGGCGCTATGATAGTTGGGGAGGTATGATATACGGTAGATAATGCGGAATCATGATAATCCGGGCAGTTTCCCATCACGCGGATGTGTTCGCACGCGGGTAGGGGTTCACGGCTGGTTTGTGATCGCTTGGGTGGTATCATATCAAAACGGGGACGGACGGTCACGCTGTGACTGGAAAGGGGGGTTGTTGGGGGGGGACGGGTTGGAAGCGTGATAACTGTGACACTCTTTCTGTGGTTCGTGACCCACTCACCTGTCCTTAACGGCTACCGCTCGCGGTAGAAAAATAATAGAAACACGGAAACCGATTGACTCGAGTAGCCAAACGCTCCAATCAGTACTCCAGGATCCCGTGTCTCATTTTCTGTTTTTATTTTTTTTTTATTTTTTATTTTACCCGCAGGCTTTTACAACTCGAGCAGAAGCACTTTCCGCATCATACCGACCCCGTTCCACGGTTGAGAAATGTGCTTCTACAGAATGATGATGCCATACCGGTACTTGGTCCACCGGTATTTGATTCAGTAAACTTGACATGATGGGCTATACCTGCCCCACTCTACGCCCTGCGATGTGGCTGAAGCTGGGTAACTCGAAGATTCACCTATATGCATATGCATACTTCGTCATGTCTCTCTGCCGCTGTACTGGTGCTCGTGAATCCTCCCTCCCACCACCTCACGGGCTGGGGCACCTCATTCCCACTCTTACCATAGGGTAGGGAGAACGAGTGAGGACATTTTCGAAGACCGTCACGTTGCCCACCAGTAGTATGCGAGAGCTGTCGGTCTGGTACGGCACTGAACCCTTAAGGCCTATAGAAAGGTGTAAAATAAATGAGTGAATGAGTGAGAATAACGAGATGGTAGGTAAGGGTAAAGTATACACCCGGGTAATGCGCCGTCATGGTAAAAGAGAAGAGAAGAGAGAAAAAAGGAAAGAAAGAAAAAAAAAAAGGAGGGGGGTTCATCCTTCAACGCAGTCGTGAGAAAAAAAAAAGTAAAAAAACCAAAAAAAAAACTACCGTAGCGATTTCGTTACCATATTGCCGTTGCCTGCAAACCTCACTCTGGTCCGGAATGCACGATACCGTGCCTGCGATTGGGAGGCGGAGTTCTCGGGGGGGGGCTTTTGTCGCATGTGTACGATACCTTTTTCAGAGAACCTCGCTCTAGGCGGGTGTGGCGGGATTTTTCGAGTGAGTATTTGTGATTGATATTTATTCTCCTTTTTTGTTCCGCCTCCTCGTGTAGGCCAATATCGGCATTACCGGCATGAACCGGCGAAGTGAAGGTTTGGGAAAGCACTTTTTTGTTCGATCGTGATTTGTTTGATACGGTGTCATACAGGTTGGATTGTGAGTGGGGGGGGGCGTTTGGGGGGAGGGGGTTGGTTCTGTTGCTACTCAAGTGTGTCCGAGTGAGCGGTGCGTGATGCTATTATATTCACCGCCTTACTGACTGGCTGGGTGGGTGTGTGGGCTATCCATCCCATGGGCGGAAAAGATGGGTAAAAAGTGGTATCGTGAAAGAGAAAATGTGGTGAATAGGTGGACGAGAATCATAAGGGCTGTTTATTTTCTTCTTTTTTCTTTTGGGTGCGGTATCGTAGTTGATGCATATCTAGTCCATTTGACCGGGAAGCCGTATCTACATGGTATTATAACCGCCCTAGTGGCTGTTGCGATGGAAGGAAGAAAAGATCCGGTGGGAAGGGAGGATTGGGCGTTGAATTTTGAGCGAAAAAAACAAAACAAAGAGCGACATTAACGTCGGAAGGGATATTTTAACTGCTAATGCGATTGAATTGGATGGAGAGACCCAGTATCATACCAGTTAGGGAAGACAGAATTGTGCCGTAGGGTTTGGTGCTGGCCTTGATGTCATAAGTATTGAATGCTACGAGGAATCTTTTCGGCTTTGTCGAGGAAGCATTACAATTGCGCTTTTTTAGGTATGATATGACAGCGGGCTAATAGGGATCTGGGAAGTGTCAGTGCCATTTGAACCTGCTTGCACAAGTAGGCATAGTCTCATAGAGTGTAATTTGGCCATTATGATATACCATTTGATTACTCGGGTTATCCATCGTCCCCTACCAGGATTCTAGGGCTTTCGGAAACGAGTTGGCAGGACTAGCTCGCCGACCTGCGTTTTCCGCGAGGCTGGAGCAGTGTATGTATACATGCGGGTGGTGCGGTGGTCAATCAGCGAGTTCATCTTTGTACGAGTATGATATCAAGTGACGAGGCGTGCAATAGGAGCATAGCTTCCGCAACAATCCCCCCCCCATTACCCGTTATTTCCAACCGAACCTTCTCAATATACAGTATCCGGCCCCATCACAAACTCCCACCTGCCAAACATCTTTGCTAGATTATTGGGGAAGCACGTTCTTACTAGTCCCTACGGAGTACAGACAAAGGCTTGACCGCATGCTGAGGTTGAACTGATTTATCTTTGGGGGAGTTGGTATGAAGCACAGGCACAAGGCTATTCCCCGCCAAGGTTTGAACTATCGAGCTTGTTTCCGGAGGATATCTAACGATCAATAAATCCAACTCTGTCCGCCATTTTAGTTTGTGTACGGAAATATAGTCATGCCAAACTAGTTCTTTAGATACCACCCCCCCCCCGCAAAGATTTACTCATGACCTTTTGTGTGCGGTGTTATAACAATAAAATCTGGTGCGGGAAGTGCTGCGAAATTGCCGTATCGAAGTGGCAAAGCTACTGTAAAATTTGTCCTTTCTTGCAGACGATTCTACGCAGCAATAGTCCCACCAAGTGATTTAACAAGTAAATTGACAATTGCCATCCCCAACCCAATGCCAGGGAGAAGATGGCCCTCCTCGGGATACCTCGGAGGGGAACTCTTGCCCCATCCCTTTCACGATACCTCCAATAGTCGACGTGACCAGATCCACTTTCTCATTCCCTTTGTTGGCGATGTAAGCTGGTTTGGCTGGAGAGAGTTTAACATAACATACACAATTTAGAGTGTTTCCCAACAGGCTAATCAAGATTGGGCGGAGTTCCACAGACTGCGTTTGGAAAAGCCAGCTATTGCACTGCTAATTTAGGTCAAGGTTCATACCCATGGCCACAGCTCACGTAAATTAAAGTCTGACCAAGCGAGTCCCGCCAGCCACAAATTCTACATTACTAATCAAAAAAAATATCTCAGCCACTACTCACCTTTAGCACAGCCATAGCCAGGTGGGTCTCCAACCATTCACGAAATCCCCCCCCACTATCCTTCCCCAGGTTGCGGGTTTCCTTTGCCCCCCCCCCTGTCTCAACCCCTCCACTCAATCCTCTCAATTGAGCTCCTATACCTACCGACAGCAATGGCCTCAACTTTCGCCCGTCTGGCCGCCAGGAGTTTAACCTGCGCAAGGCCTTTGGCTGTCTCCTCACCGATTCGCGCCGCTCGTGCTATCCGGCCCTTTAAATCAACCCAGATATCCAGTGCAGAGGCGGCGCCATACCAAAGAACCACTTTGACCGAGCTAGAGCCAAAAAATGAGACCACGGATGATTGTGGGTATTCCGGGAGCCTTTGCAGATGGATGGATGGATGGATAGAGCTAAATCCGAGTAGACTTGACGGAGGATCCTAATCATGACCCGGTGCATGGCAGGAAAATGAGGCACTATACCGTCAATTTCGTATGTCTTGCCGCTGATTGAAGATCGAGTATGCTGGAGGAAGCGGCGGCGGTGGAGAGAGTTCGAGTTAACGGATTTGGATAGGGTCCTCAACACCCGGCTGCTCACGGTGTGCTGCGATTGATTCTTGAATTGAATGGGGAGGAGATCATTCGTGCAGATCCTCATGTTGGACTTCTGCATAGAGGTACAGAAAAGTTGATTGAGTACAAGACGTATCTTCAGGTACTGGGGGTCCTTGTGCATTGGATAGGACTTTGGGCGGCTAACGATAGGTTCGCAGGCTTTGCCATACTTTGATCGTTTGGATTATGTTTCCATGTAAGTCGGAGACAGATTTTTTCGACTGAATATATAATGCTAACCATTTTGCAGGATGACGAACGGTACCCAATTCTGGCATCCTTGACCCACAGGAATTAGCGCTAACATATTTTGATCGCAGAACAATGCTTCTCACTTGCCGTCGAGAAGCTCCTCAATATCGAGATTCCGGATCGTGCCAAATGGATCCGCACATTGTTTGGAGAAATTACTCGTATCCTTAACCACTTGATGTCCGTATTGTCGCATGCTATGGGTAAGCCTTAGGAACACCTTTCTTTGTGCTAAAAACTCTCGCCAACTATACATTTATAGACGTCGGTGCCTTGACACCCTTCCTCTGGGGTTTCGAAGAGCGTGAAAAACTCATGGTACACTCGCCGCTACCCATCACCGACAAACCCCAACTAACTGACCCCGTCAGGAATTCTATGAGCGTGTCTCCGGAGCCCGTCTCCACGCTGCCTATGTTCGTCCTGGCGGTGTCCACCAAGATCTGCCCGTCGGTCTCCTAGATGACATCTACCAATGGGCCACCCAATTCGGGGATCGCATCGACGAGACTGAAGAACTTCTAACAGACAATCGCATCTGGATCGCTCGCACAAAAGGAGTCGGTGTTGTATCAGCAGCGGAGGCAATAAACTACTCCTTCACCGGCGTCATGCTCCGCGGCTCCGGTGTGGCTTGGGACATCCGCAAGTCCGCTCCGTATGACGCCTACGGCCAAGTCGACTTCGATGTACCGGTCGGCCAAGCAGGCGATTGCTACGATCGCTACCTCTGTCGAATGGAAGAATTCCGCCAAAGTTTACGCATCATCCATCAGTGCCTCAACAAGATGCCCCCAGGCCCCATCCGTGTGGAAGACTACAAAATCTCCCCGCCACCGAGAGTGGCAATGAAGGAGAACATGGAAGCGCTCATCCACCACTTTTTACTCTACACCAAGGGATATGCCGTCCCACCCGGCGAGACATACAGCGCCATCGAGGCCCCCAAGGGCGAGATGGGTGTGTTCGTTGTCTCGGACGGGAGCGAGCGTCCGTATAGGTGCAAGATTCGCGCTCCGGGGTTCGCACATTTGGGCTCGTTTGACCAGATTTCAAGAGGCCATTTACTCGCCGATGCGGTGGCGATTATCGGAACAATGGACTTGGTGTTTGGGGAGGTGGACAGATAGGTTGATGTAGGGATAAGTTCTAGGTAGAGAGTTTTCCCCGGGGGGGGGGGAATCCGGAAATGTATATTTTATCATTGGCGGTTATTATATAAAAACTTGCTCGCGGGGTTGAGCAGCAATCTTATATCAGGCGACTATGGGAATTCTGGAGTAATTGATTGATTAATGATGCTGGTATTCCAACTTTGACTTATATACATGCAATTTTTTTTCAATTTTTTTTTCGCCCTTTCGTTTGGCCCGACCCACTGTTCCACCTTCATACTTGGTGGTGATAATGAGAGCGGCCATGTAAGTTGGACGAGAAACTAGGGATTAGGAAAGAGGGAAAAGAGGGAAAGAAGGAGAGGGGCCACAAGACAAGGAAATGGCGAAGGATGTAAGTTAAATTCAAGAAGGAAAGGAAAGAAAGCGAGAGTTAATAAAAAGTAAAAAAGTAAATGATTAACACCTGTAAAGTAAAATAAAATAGCTTGAATTCCCCCTGCCCGCCATCACCCACCGACAAATCAAGGGTGCGAAAGTCCGACAAGCAAGCGAGAAGGAAAAGTTAGGAAAGAGACAAGCAAAGGAAAAGACCCTAGATCAAGACTAGCTGAGACGGGACGAAAAGTACCGTAATTTCCTTTCTTGTCGCTTCTTCTCTGTTTCACACGAACGTAAAAAATACAGCTTTCGACTCGACTCAATAAGCTTAATCCACGATTTATAATGATAGCAAAACAGCCAAATGACCAGACAATTTGGTTCATTATCTTGTCTCTTCTCTTCCCTCCCCTTCTTCCCTCTGGGTGTAAACGTGTAACAAGTTTTGTGGAAACTTTAACAATGACCTTCCCCCAGATTATACTTTGATTCCCCTTTCTTTTTTTCTTCGTTTTTTCTTCGTTTTTTCATCCCCTTTTTTGTGGGGTACCGTACTCCATGCACTTTCTCCTGTTCATATAGGTTGTTATTTATTTGCCCCCATTCTCGTTGTAGATTCTGTGAAAGTTTGCGCTCTCGTCGATAAGTCTACAGAGAGCTGCACCACACTCCGGGTCGATTTCCTGCCCGTCACGGCCGATGAGGACTGGCTGGTCTTCGTTGAGACGGTTAGTCAAATGCGCCACGCGATGGAAGTTGATGTCATTGATTGTGACCCATCGAATTCTGAAGGGGCCTGAAGACTCCCAGAGAAGGTTCTTGGCCCATGTTGGTACCGGCGCTGTACCAGGAGCAGATTCCATACGAGCCTGGTGCGATATTAGATTGGCATATACATATATAAGGGTACCCCCCATATTATGACCGCTCTATAGCGAATAAAACTTACATAGCCCTGGAATTTCCCGCTCTTGTTAACTGAGAAAACGAGGATAACGTCGCGAGAAGTCTTGAAGGCCTCTTCGAACGTTTCCGAGTTTTTCTTCTGGGTCGCCCATAGTTCCTATTGTCCGCAAATAACCCTGGTCAGAATTTTGGTAGCATCAGTTTTTAAGTATCAAGATCCCTCACGTCTTTTTGGGCCATTTTCACATTATCGTGGTTGAAACTCTTAACCACAAAATACCTGGTACCTGCACCTCTTGTGTCTAGAGGCAAATCCGCGTAAGCAACAGTGATAGTTCCACAGACTAGAAAACCAAACGTCAATCCTCACCAATTACAGGTCCAACCCTATTCTCAAAGTCCATGGGATCCCCATAATCCTGTTTCCCATTGTGGCGTGTTGAGGGATGAAACTCCTTAGTGTATCCACGCCCACGCCCACGTCCAAACGGCCTCTTCTTATGCTCGTCTATAGAGCCGCGGCGTAAAGTATTTCCTGGTGAGCGATAATCATCGGATGAACTGCGTCTACCCGGGAATGGTTTCCTAAAGTCTTCTCTCGGAGTAAATTTACCTGAGACCGATCGGCCCGGTTTTTGGAGGTCTTTTTCGTATCTAGGCCCAGATGGCTCCGGCGTCCTACGTCCCTTCTCGAACCCTTTGCGCTGGGGGTGGACAAAGGCAGTGCCATTATCCCCATCACGGTGGGGCTTGTTTGGTGGCCCCTGTTTATGCCCTTCCTTGCGATCATTATTATCATAACTGTGGCGAGGGCTCAAACTACGCTCTCGCACTCTTGCCTCTAGGGGAAGCGGAGGAGGCGATTGCTCCCGCCCACGACCTGTAGCTATTCTCTTGGATAAACTCTGGCGTACGGCACCAGCCGCATCATCCTCCGGGTCTTCAAACCGGGCTTTAGTGATACGCCTGGATGGATGCCTATGGTCAACGGGGTCTGTATGGCCTGAATGATGTTTCATATGAGTGCCAGATTGTTCAGCATTGACATAATCGCCCGATTTCAGAGTAGTTGTAGAACGATGCTGGTTCTCGTAATTGACACGTGCCGACTTCCCGACAGGGCCTGCATCATCGTATTCATCACGGAACGGGGCTCGCCTCTTGAGACCCACAGCCTCTCCCTGGGGCGAAGCAATACGCAAATCACCCTGATAACGAGTCCTATCATCGAGTCTTGGGAGTGGCGGATATAACGCAGCCCTAGATGATGAGCGATGAGCTGTGCTCTCCGGAACACGACTAGATGGATCCCTCTCATCCCGCGGTGGCATTTCAGAGGGCATCAATGTATATGAGGGTGGTCCGCGAGTCCTCCTTGGATCTCTGGGATCGACGTCTTCACGAAGTGGCACTCCCGGATATACTCTGGGGATGTCCCTCTCATCCTCTATAACTATTCTCCTGTCTTCCATTGCACGTAAATCACGTTGATGCCTCAAAACCATTTGACGATATGGGTGGTCGTGATAACCCGTAACCTCAAGCCATTCAGTTAGATCTTTATAATAGAGAGCAGCATAATCCGTCTCCGGAGGACGAGTTATCGGAGGAAGGCGGTGATCATCCCGAGGAGGAAGATATCGACCAGTTGGGTATGGAGGAGCATCTGGGCCCTGATCTTGCCAATTGGGATCCACCATGCGACGAGAGTACCTCGGGTAAGGATCTCTTGGGTCATCCTCCCTGGCTACATCCATGGACCTATATGATGAAGGCTCTTCCCTAGTACGGAGTTTTTCCTCTTCCAAGTACTTCCCACGATAGTCACCATCGCCTCTGCGACTTGCACCTGGTTTCTCCGGGGGGTGCCTAAATTCTTTAGCGGAGGGTGGAGGATCCTCGAATCTATCAGTTCGGTGGCGTGCATCCTGCCGTGCATCCTGCCGAGCATCATTTCTATCCCTCTCCTCGTGTTCATAAGCACGCTGGACCCGAGGGAACTCTTGTCTAGAGGCAGACGTTGGTGATATTTTTTGGCGAGAAGAATGACTGTAATCTTCCTTGTATGCTCCTTCTCGTCTTGGCAAATCCTCTGGGGATCTCTTTGGGCGGGACTGTTTGTCATTGCGTGGGTATGAATGATGCCCAGCAAAACTACTCCGACGTGAGGTCTCAGGATCGTCGTAAATTGGCGATGTATTTTCATGGAATTCGCCTGAAGGTCCTCTGGTCATCCCACTAGCCTTTATCTCTTCAGGGTAATTTTTCCTGCGGCGAGTTTGATCAAAGGACTCTTCTGTGGGTGACTTGACCGAATTTTTAGCTGTGGTCGATGCACCTGCATTCTGAACCTTCTCCACCTTGCCAGAGACCGTCTTGGATGACCCCATTGCTTCAGCCAACAGCGCATTAACAGCTGCCTCGCGTTCAGGGTTAGATGCCGATGCCCTTGTTGGGGATTTGTCATTACCACTCCCAATTTCAGTAGTGTTCATTCCTACGGGTCCTACTCTAGATTCCGGCGATGCCTCTTTTCTACCTGTCCCTTCACTTTCTTGAGTGATGAAGACAGCTGCTTTTTTCTTTTTCTCTGCCAGTGATTCTAATACCTTTTGACGAAGTTCGTTTGGGTCTTTTGTAGATAAGGTATCCTTGGAATTAGCCATATTTCCAGACTCTTTCTCAGTAGAACTGTGGTGATTTGAATTAAGCCCTTTCCCAGGTTGCTGTGTTTCACTCGTCAGATCATTGGTTAGGTTTGGCTCGGGCTCATCCTGAAAGGAATTCAGTTGTGACCATAAAGCCAAGGCATTAAAGCGTACCTTCGATATATTTTGTGTCGCATCTCCCACACTAGCTGCCCCAGGATTGTTTGGGGTATCTAAATTTAAGCCCTGGGATATATCTCCATTAGACTTGGATCTGTGACCCTGATTGATGCCCTCATCCGTTATTCCGCTTTCTGATTTGTCACCTTCTGAATGACCATAAGCACCCTCTGTGGGGGTATTGTCCTCAGGGCACCTGGGCTTTTCATCGTATGAGATTTCCACTTCTTGTTGGTAGGAGCGGAGGTTTGCACGGCCATCCATCGGCCTAGAATCGGGATGGGATCGACCACCCTCATTATAGTGAGCATAACTCCGCAGCTGTCGAGGATGGTGAGAATCCATTCTCTGTTCTGGACTCCGAGGATTGCTGATTCTACCTTCGAGTGACATGAGGTAAGGCAGTGATTGTGGTTACTTGAAGACTCCGAATCCTACAACAAAATGTTAGGACGAAACAACTCAAAAATGGCTTCCAAGATAATCAAAAGATTATGAACGGGGGTGGATCAAGCTCGAAACCTACTTGCTTAATTTCGGAATGCGAGCTGCTTAATCGCTCAGTATGGGAAAAGTAGCAGGGTAAATCAAGGTAGCATAGGGTTTTAGCGATGAACCACGACACTACAAACAACGAGAGATGAAGGAATTAATTCCTGCTGATGAGGCTCGAAGCGTATCGTAAAATGTGATTGGACTGCAGCTTGTGCACAGCCCCTGGGAACTTATAATTCTTCAATAATCCAGCGGATAAAGGTGGATTAGGATAGATACTCGAGCAGCTGGTTGTTGACGGGTAACCTCGAAGAGCAAGTCTGATTGATGATGTTGAGGCTAAGCGAGTGAGCGAATGATGTGATGTTAGAAATTTTAGAGATAGATAAAGAGATAGAGAGAGGAGGGGTTGAGGGAGATGGGGGCAGACAAGCACAGAAAGCTGTCAAGGTTGGGGTGTCGATGAGGGAGGGACAAGGAAACGAGGGGGGAGAGTCACACAAATGAAAGTTGGTGGTGGAGGAGGGGAATCGAGTTGTACGGCCCACGTAGGTCTACTCGAGAAGCCCGACGCCGGCGCGGAAGATGTAGGGGATAGAAGAAGGGGGCAGAAGCGAGAGCTCACAACAGGGAAAAAGTGAAGAAAGGAAAGCAAGGAGGCAAAGGGGTAGGACGCATCCAGCCAGCGGGATTCGAGGTGGTGGTTTTATTTTTATTTATTTTTTTGCCGCGAATTGGACCGTGTCGTCACCACTCGCGATTGGACTTAAGGCACTGAATAGTACGAGTACAGTATAATGCAGCACTTGAGCACTGCACAATTGACAAACCTCCGACTCCCCAAATCTTCTAGCTCCACTTAAATTATAATACTACTTGTAGAGTTCGATAGCTCCTATTCCAAATCCCGGGTTCCAGGCCACTTTGTTCATGATTTTCCTCAGGTACTCATTCATTTTCGACTCGAGTGAAATACGCCCCAGCTAGAACGGACCATAAAACCACCGACCGAGCACGAAACAGATTTCATTGTTTCCCATTCGCGGTCCCTGCGCTGTGCACAAGCCCCCTATTGTGCCTCATGTTCCCAGAACAGAGCTACCGGTACGAGTTTCCAGGAAAAAAAAGTCGTGATAAATCGTGCTGTGGAGAAGAGAATGACCGGACCTTGAAGTCACGCTCATGAACCTTCTCCAATACCGGTTTCTATCTAAACATTCCAACGCTATGGGGATAGCAACTGCGGTAAATTTAGTATCGGTATTCGCAGCTCGCACAGGAGACCGCCACGAGTTCACATTTAACGGGAACGCCATCTGCCCAGCATTTCCTATCCATGGACAAGCTCCGAAGCTCCTTTATTGGCCAATTGGGGATACCCCAGCACCTCTCTGCCTTATTTTCACCATTGCCCGGATGAGCTTTATCTAGCTGCTTCAAAGCCCACCCAAGCCCATCATGTCTTCCAAAATACTGGTAAAAAACCGTTGCTCCCTGTCACACACACGAGTAGCTGGATTCCGATTGGGCTCCCCGTGTGCCGGTGTGGGGGCAGTTGTCGCTTCCAATACAAATGAATTGTGGTAACCTCATTTTTATCCTAATCTGAATCTGAATGTTACACCGCATACTCGAGTACCGGTAGAGAGCTTCATGGGCGATCATCAAACACCAGCATGTCACCATGAATCCATCGTGATGAGGGTCGGCCAGACAATTCTGGACTGTGATAAATCACCTTGCCGCAAAATGGGCCAATTTTAGGGCAGCGGCAACTTTTAACAAATTCATGACAATAATAATTATTGTCATGGTTGTTAAACATCTTGCACTTATAATCTGAATGTAATTTCAAGACAACGTCGCTGGGAATTTCCACTTTCCCAAGATATATATATATATGATCTTGGCGGGGCCAGATGTCATGACAACAGAAAAACGAGCCCCATATATACAACAAACCTTTAGTCTAGCTTGTAATGTCCGCATGAAGGTAACAAAAATCACTTGGTTTTTACTAAAAAAAAACTCAAGCAATTGCGAAACCGATAATGGCGAAGCCGATATTTGGATGAGTCGCAAGTCATTAGAGTTGCTCGTTTTTGGCGTAAAATGTCCAACTACCGGTATGATACTCATGACTTTCGGTGCCAAGATCGTACCCGGGGCATAATATAACACGGCAGTCCTATCAGAAGTTATCGACATCCGCCCATCAAATGGTGCCTTACAATGGCAACCTAAGGTTTCCCAAGGAACACTTCAGGACTTTTAGATGTGGTCCCTTCAATATGTACGCCTAGGGCGGATTTTGAATACTCCTCACACTCTATCACATTTTGCTTCCCATCACTTTGCTTTCTTTGAACTAACAAGCCTTCTTTTCACATGCTTTTTCATCTTCGTCTTCCTTTGCTCTCGCTTCCCCTCCTTAACTTTCTTTTTATGTTCCTGCAAACAATCAGCGCTGCACCTGCCGGTAGTAATTCAAAGGGAGAGTGCCTTCTTCTCATCCTTATCTTCATGTTTTTTTCCCCTAGGTTTGGTGTCTCTATCCTTCTTGTGAATGTGCTCGGCTCCGTCACAATCCCCACCCTCGTCGCCATCATCAGTTTGTTCTCCGGAATCTTCTTCATCCTCGCCATTCGTGTCCTCATCTTCCCCGGCAAGAAGTTCGCGATATACCAAGTCAGAGCCCTCACCACGGCCAAACTTCTCAGCATCTCGCTCAACGTCGTAAACCTCCTCTAGGGTTCTAGGCACGTAGGCTTCTCTAAAAAAACGTTCCTCGACCTCTTCCCCAGTACCTCTGGGGAGTTCCCTGAGGAATCTAGAGGTAGCTGCGCTTTCGGTTTCTCCGTCAGTTCGAGGCCCTAGATTAGGTCTGGTGATGAACTCAAAGACCAATATCTCGTCGATAGTATCGACACCCTTCCTCTTGAAGAAATCGCTGACGTTCTTGATATCCATTTTCAAAAATTCAAAACTTCTAGGATGATCGTGTTCTACGCTCTGACTAACGTCGATAATATAGAGCTTTTTCTCGAGGTATAGGATGTTGTACTCGCTCAAGTCAGCGTGCACTAGTTTGCATTGTTGGTACATTGTCCTCGTGAGGCAGAGGAGTTCCTGATAGAGTAGATCCCAGGTTTCTTCGCCATTGATGCTAGCATCCCTTAGTCTGGGCGCTGGGTGTCCATGTTTATCACCAATAAAACCCATCACAAGGACATGAAGCTTAAGGTAAACAGGCTTGGGGCAAGGAATGCCAGCCACAAATAGCCTCTTAAGATTCCGCATTTCCTTCTCTGCCCACATTTTTACCATTGCACGGTTGTTTCCTTTGTTGTACCCATTGCGGAAACGATGTTCGCCGCTGACATAGCGATCTCTGTCTTTGAATACAAGGATAGCGGTCTTATAGACTTTGATAGCGCGGTGCTGTAACCTGGAGGATCCGGAGTCCGGATCAGGATCTGAGACCGCGTAGTATACATTCGCCTCTTTTCCAGTAGAAATCACTCCGTGAATAGTATTGACAATACCTCGATTAAGGAATTGCATAAGAATCGTGCGAGTTCTGGGATCGAGAACCTGCTCGCTTGTAGCACGATCTGATTTATCGTTGGATCTGGCATCGATCAATTAGCCCAATACTCTAGAATCTTACTTCCTCTCAAATTGACGTACTTGTCACCTTTCACTCCGCCTATTGTATCCTCTAGATCTCCTAACTTGATCCGTGATGCAAATTTCGCGAGACTGGAAATCTGGTCATCAACCCTCGCAGTAACGTTCGCCCTCGGCTTCTGCGCGTTTGGCTTCGCTGCCGCAGGCGCAGCTCCCTTCTCCACGCTGGCCCGTTGCTTGTTGTAAGATTTCGTAATGTCACCGCTACCTCCACCGATCCAATCTTGATCATTCAGCTCGTCATCAAATAGATCGTCGTCGTCAGAATAGTCGTCGGATCCTTCAAGCTCCCCCTGTTCTACTGGGTAGTCAAAACGGCTAGCTTTGGGGTTGCCCATGCCGCTTCGATCTTGGACAGAAATCTCTTGCGGGATCTCTTTCGTGGGACTCTCGAGAGTGGTGCAATCCGCTGATATAGGGGCTGGTGAAGCCATATTGAGTGAATCCCGGAGTTATCCAGATAGTAGAAGTTTGGCAATGTGTTATTCCGGCAGCGAGAGGGGATTGAGAGCCGGAAATATAAAAGTGATATGAGGGAGGACGAGCTCATTAGGCGTGGGGAGAAGCTTTGGTGACTTATCGTTTACTGTATGGTGGGGCTTTTTTTTTTTTTGGCGGGGCTTACATTAGCCAAGCCTTTTACAGAGTATCGTACCGTATGACTACAGTACTGGTATCGCTATCGAACGGGGGGAATGAGAAGTGGTCCATCGTTCACAATCAACTTACGATACTAGTCTAGTCTACTCGTGCTCGCAGCAAGAGCAAGCAGCAATCATGGCCGAGACAAGCGGTTAGAGATCGATAGCAGGCAGCGCTTCTTGGAGGTTCCCTTAGGGTTTCTTCGGGAACCTGTCGTTCGGGAGGATTCAATGCCATAGAAAACTGGGGGTTTCCTGCTTCTCGAGTAAAGTTCGTATCATCTGCGCTGGTTTCCCGCATTGATGCTAGGGCTTTGAACGTACGATAGTCTAGAACTGTCGAAAAAGCGAAGGGGCCCGAAGATGTGTGGACTGTGCAGCACATGTTGCGGTTTTCCGCGGGGCCTCTTGAACGAGTCGAGGGAAGGGAGCATGATTCTTAAATTTATTCACTGGTGGAAAACGGGAAGATTTGTAATAATATATCATTATTCATACTCGCAGACTACCGGTAAATTTATCCTTCTCGATGAGTGGACCTCAGTGAGCTATTGCGTGTTCTCTGCAATCAATAAGTTGACTTGTGGTAAGGGTGCTATGAAGCCTTTAAGACGGCATTGTAAATATCATACCATGCTGGTATATATGTTCTGGCCAAGCTCATGTCGCGCCAGGTTTTCAACCAGAGCCGCCTCACGTGACGCATAACCAACACGCGTGTCAAAGTCGAAGCTCAGTCTTCAGATTCTCAAATCCCCACTTCCACCCAACCAACCAACCTCCACAAACAAATAACAAACCACCCCTCACCCAGAAAAATGTCGGATAACGAGTCTTCCTCCAGTTCCGGAACGCCCCCGCCCATCACCAAAAGCCCGTACGAGATCCTGGAGGTTCCCACCACCTCAACCGCTGCTGAAATCCGCTCTGCGTACCGCAAACTAGCGCTGACTGTGCACCCGGACAAAGTCCCCGAGGGCGAGCGCGACGCAGCGAAAACCGCCTTCCAGGAGCTCACGTTTTCGTATGGAGTTCTATCTGACGAGACGCGACGGAAGCGGTTTGACGAGACGGGGAGCACCAGCGAGACTGCCGAGGGCGGGTTCGACTGGAAGGCTTTCTACAAAGCGCAAATGGCGGACTTGATTACGACGGAGAGTCTTAGGAAGTTTAAGGAGGAGTACCAGGGTTCGTTTTTTCGTCCTCCTGTGGCTCTATCGCTGATTAGGCGGGCAGTGGGTGGATAGCTAATTGAATCCGAACAAACAGGTTCCGAGGAAGAGAGACAGGCAGTTATAACTGCATACCAGGCGTGCGAAGGTTCTATGGACAAGATCATTGAGTCAGTGATGTGTTCGGACGTCCTGGAGGACGAAGAACGCTTCAGGCAGATCATCAATGAGGCACTCGATGCAGGGCAGGTGAAGTCGTTCAGGAGCTTCACGCACGAGAACAAGGCCTCCAAGAAACGTCGAAGAGATAAAGCTGAAGCCGAGAGGCGTGAGGCAGAGGCGTACGCGAAAGAACTTGGCATCCACGATGAGCTCTTTAATAACAAAAAGGCTAAAGCCGAGGAAGTTGAGGATGAGCATCGCGAAGAAGGGGCCGACAAGGGATCTAAGAAATCGAAAGGGAAAAAGACCAGGAAGGTGGACCCAGCAGAAGATATCAGCGGGCTCAGGAACCTCATCCAGAAGAGATCGAATAATCGCATGGAAGAAATGATGTCAAGTCTTGAGGCTAAGTACCTGCCCAAGTCAAAGAGTAAGAAGAAAGCAGCAACAAACTCGAAGCGCAAGAAGGCTACGGATTTGGACAATGAAGATGAAGAGGCAGAATTGGCCCCACCAGAGCCTACCGAAGAACAATTCCTTGCTGCGCGTGCCCGCATGGAGGGTAGCAAGAAGCCCAAAACTACAAAGGAGGCGAGGGGAAAAGCCAAGACCGTCAAGGAAGATAGTGCTGATACTGAGCTGAGGAGGTCAAAGAGGGTTAAGAGGTAGTCTTTTTTTTTTTTTTTGTATTTTTAACCTGCTGATGGTATGATAAATCTGTTCTGTACACGGATGGCTTGGTATTTGTTTGCGTATAGATAGGCTGGCTGACTTGACGTGCTATTGCTACTATTATATCCCCGTTACAGGTACCATTGAAAATTCCAAATACTTTTTATCTCATTGGAAGTTGACATTTGGATTTGCTGCGGTTTTTGAAGGGTAGATGTGTTATGATATAATTTTATTACAAAAATATTGCTACTATGATAATTATGATAAGTTATGCGCAGTGTCCGAAGTTCCCATGCTTTACTCTGAGGATGGGGGGTCCAGCGAGTTATTACAAGTAGGTCAGAGGGGGAGGGAGGAATTTCGAAGACACGGGTGTTCCGAAACCCTCACCCGATCCAGAATACTGTGGTTTAGGTCAGAGCTTTACAGTAATGCCGCCGGGCGTAATGTATATCGCGTTGGATGCCCCAAAATCACGCTGGCATTTTTTATATTATCGTACACACAGCCAGCACCAATTCCACCGATCCCGTCCGACCACTACCCTGGTAGAATAAACGACCACCGGTATGATAGACGTGAATCGTTGAAGGCCGGGAACAAAAAGTTAGCTCCGACAGGCATAATACCACAGATATAGTACCCCTCTCCTCCGGGCCGGCGAGCCTCTTCCTCGAGGAATTATTTATCGGGAAACATCCCCGCTCTTCAGCTGTAATTTACCGAGTGACCGCCCATGGCTCAAACTCGGTTTCCATCGCTCTCACCTTATCTCTCGTGCACTTGATACCCTAATTATCTCTCGATATCCTTGATCCAGAGCTCAGCCTTAGCCTCCTCAGCTCGATGGGTTATACTCAGGCTCTTGCCAATTCCCTTTGCTTGCCTTTCTGTCGTGAACTATATGGACTTGCTTCGTCGTGTATTCCAATACCTGAAGTTTAAGACTTTGTAATATTCTCTCCTCTCCCCCCCCGATCGTTGCTATCATGCCACCGGATCAATGCCGACTAACATAGAGCTCAAAAAGGAAAAAAATACCGCCTTCCGATCTATCAACAGAACCCCTACGGGGCTGGGGATATATATATGCACCCAACAAAAACCCTTATTTATACCTTATGCCTTTTTTCCTTTTCACAGGTATATTTTTTTTACTTGATCGAGTTAAATTGTGCCCGAGAAGCACATAGAGCTTGACAACTCCTATCACTCCAGAACCCATCACGGCAAGGATATGGAGCTATCGGACCCCCAGTAATTGCCCTTCCCACTCGCCTTTGAAATGGGGCCGGGATGAACGGTCTCTAGGAAGTTCCGGGTTCTTCCTTCCTCGTCCTGAAGTCCAAGCTCCCGAGGGCGTGGTACTATTATACCTTCTAGAACTATAATGGTATGATATTCCGTTGATAAGTACTCGAGGGAGGAGGGGGGGAAGTGCCTGTTGGGCTTGGGGCGGGAGTCAAAACTATTGGTAAACCAGGGGGGTCGGGGGTTGTATATATAGGTTCCTCTAGGGAGGGGCGAAAAGGAAGAAGGAAAGAGAAAAAAAGCTAGTATAGGGGTTTAGGATGTTAGGGTGTGTGCTTCCATCGATTAATATCTACGGAGCTGGAGACTGGGGTTCATAAATCTTTGAACTATGGTATTATAAGTATCATGATATTATGATATGATATGTTTGCTCTAGTGAGAAGGATCTTCTATAGGTAATATATCATAGGGGCTCGGGAATTCGAGGATAGGGGCCTAAGCCCACACTGGTAGAATATCATAAGATAATTTATGATTAATTCTTTACTCAAGCAATAAGGCCAAGGAATGACAACCTGGGCGCTCCGTCCATCACCGTCGTCACTCACCACTCTGAACTGCGCACACTCGCGCATATGATCAGGAGCGCAGAATCATATTTCCCACTGGAAAAGGAAAAGGAAAACAACGATAATACACTGCGCGGATATAAGTAAACATGAAACTCTAGAGTGTTTTAGTCAATAGCTTAGGCCCTGTTTGGCAAAAATGAAACCGTTCCGTTCGGCGACCGTTTCTCATACAAAAATTCTTGTCGTTCCTTTCCTTCCGTTTCGAAATGGACATTTTGTATGGGAAATGGTCGCCAAATGGAATGGTTCCATTTTTGCCAAACAGGCCCTTAACCAACCCAGTCATCAGAAGCAAAGAAACCGCGATAGTAATAGCACTAGCATAGCAGGAGAAAAAAAGGGAAGGAAAAAAAATCCTTTAAGGTTCAGGTTACGACACGGTAGTGTAAATCCCATTCCCCCATCGAGTATGATACCTCCTCCATCTATCCGTTCATCCCCTATGATACATCCTACGTGGTATCGTACGATAAATACCTCATTATATCGCGCACAACATACCGTATTGTAGTAACTACTGTACTGGCGAACACGGGGAACTGTGATGCGATAATCCTCAAGCCGTGGGGCGTAAAACTGAAGCTAGTTCTTAATAGAATGAATACTGTATGAGGAAGATGGAAAATAAGGGGGAGATGAAAGCGATTTTGATATAAACTACACTTATCCGTACTAATGATGACCCGGCCGACCTAACCCACAAACGCATGACACAGTAGAGTAAAAGGAAAAGGAATGAAATGAGAGGCTTAAGGAAAAAAGTAAGAAAAAATGGAGATTTCCTTAGCTCAACTAACTATACAATACGGAGCACGATAAGAGTAGAAAATGAAAAGTTGGAAGGGGAGGGAGGAACAAAAGAATAGAGCTCAAAGAAGTCTTTGAAACCAAAGAACCCAATGGAGTAGTTATAAGAAACAAAATGGAAAAAAAAAAACCTAACCGGTATGGCCACCTCTTATGCGTTTTCCTATGTTTGAGTTCTGATCCTCTGCTTCTGTACCGTCTTCCCGCAGGCGTTTTGTCGGTACGAATTGGCGCGCGACGGGATTCATGCCACGACCTGGGCTCTGCTGGGATGGGGTAGTGTTTTGTTGAGGGTGTCCGGTCTGGATGTTTTGTAGTTGCGGTGCGGCTCCACGACCGCGACCTTGGCCAGGGTTGAAGGGACCTCCAGATCCCCTTGCGCTGCTGAAGGTTCCGGGCCTAGGTAATTGAGGTTGAGGTTGGGGTTGTTGTCCCTGGCCCGGTAGACTTGGGCGATGGCCGAAGACGGGTTGTGGTAGCCCTTGCTGCTGCTGCTGTTGCTGCTGATTCGGAGACATCTGACCCATCTGACCTATTTGGCCCATTTGAGGCGTTTGGAATGCTGGCTGGGGATATGGTTGAGAAGTGCCGGGCGATTGCTGCATACCAGGTTGCAGTTGCTGCTGCTGTTGTTGAGGTTGGCCGCCCACTCCTCTTCCGCCTTGACCACCACCGCGTCCACCTCCACGCGGTATGCTGGACTCAAGGGCGCCGCGGAGACTTCGCAGTGCTGCTGGACCAGTTCCTTGTCCGTCTGCTCTGCGTGGGGGGCCCTGCCCCCGTGGAACAGGGATTTGACTAGTTTCGCCTTGCTGTGGGGCTGGGTTGATTGCTGCTGCTGGGAGCTTGATACCAGCGGCTGGGGGAGCCGCCTGCTGGGGTGGACTTCCTCCAAGGGATTCATAGGCCTTGATCTTCTCTTCCAGAGTCTTATTCCGCTTTTCCATCATGCTTAACTGAACCTTAATTCTGGCCGCCCCCTCTTGCCTTAGTGCATCTTTGCTTTTTTCCAATAATATTGCCTGTTGAGCCTGGAGTTCAGCCTCCATTGCCTTAAGCTTTTCCGCGAGGACACCCTGCAATTTGGATTCAATAGCTTTTTCCTGCTCGTTATCAATTTCCCGCTGCCATTTCTCCTTCTCCTTCCCAAGACGGTGCTCAACATTCCTCTTGATGACGGCCTTCAATTCCTCTTGAGTTGGAGGCTTCTTGGCCGACGGGTCAGTAGTATCAGTTTCACCACCCTTAATGACAAGAAATTCTGCCTGCACCTCATGCCGGATATCTACTTTGGCCTGCTCAAGCTTTGATTCCTCCTCCTCCTTAATCTTTTGGATCTCTTTCTGGTGTTCTAGATCTTTGGCGTCAAGGGCTTTCTGATGCTGTTCAACACCGACTTGAGAAACTGTAGGCTGAGCTACTTTGACCTCTTCGAGTTGCTTTTTGAGCTCTTCAATCTCACTCTTTAGTTGCGCAATTGCTGCTTCCAAGGCCTGAACCTGTTTCTTGTGTTCCTCGTCCTTTGCCGCCATTTTCTTGTCGAAATCAACTCCTGCATCACTAAGAGCTTTGGCAACAGCCTTTGCCTTGTACTCCTGGAAGCCCTTGCGAGCCTCAGTAATTCGTTGCTCTAGCTTTTCCTTTTCCTTCTTTACACGATCCTCAACAATCTTTTCAACATCAGCAGCGGAAGGCCCTACTTCACCTGGCTCAGAACCATGTGACACCTGGCCCTCAGCAAGCCTGCGAGAAACCTCTGCTTCAACAGCAGCAGAGTCTGCAATATGCTGGGCCTGAGCCATTCTCTTGGTTACTTCAGCTTCGATAGCAGCAGAGTTATCCACAGGTTGTGGGGGATCAGTGCTCTGTAAGGTCTGGTTTGCTTGGAAATCGGCGATTCGTCGGGCAACCTCAGCTTCGATGGCGGCTGTGTGATCAATCAACTCCGTACTCAGTTGGGGAGGTTGATTGGCTTGTATCTCGGCAAGCCTTCGGGTTACCTCTGCCTTAATTGATGCAGGGTTGTTGACCGGTGGAAGCGTAGCAATTCTTCGAGTAACCTCTGCTTCAATGGTTGCCTCGTCGATAACAGGGGCCATTGGGGCAACAGGAGCAGGTTGTCCTAGGGCCTTTAGCGCATCGATTTCCTGTTGGGCCTCTTCGTATTGTTTCTGTAACGTGTTCTACAATCCATAATTAGTATATATAATCCATGTTGAGATCTGAGATTCTCACTATATCGCGCATCAATGTTGATGCTCTACCCTTATAGACTTTGAAGTTCTCTTCAGCCTCGGCAGCTTTGGTCTGCATGGCTTGGAATTCAGACTCCAGCTTGTTCTTTTCCTCCTGCAAATGCTTAACTTCCTCACTGCTGGACTGTCGGGCCGCATTGAGCTCCGTCTGAAGGGTCCCTAATTGCTCTTGGGCGTCCGCGGCGTTCTTTTTCTCTGCTGTCAATTTTTCATTGGCCTCACGAAGCTTTACCTTTGTTGTTTGGACGATGGTCGCAAGTTTTGACCGCCAGACCTCCGCCGCCTCTGTAAGCTCTTTTTGCTTCAGCTCTTCAAATTCAGCGAGCTGTTTTTGTAAAGTATCGCGCTCAGCCTCGAGAGTGCTGCATTTCTCCTCAAGGGTCCTCGCCTGTTCCTTGAGGGCTTCAAGCTCGGCGGGATCGACACGCTGTACCACGTTAAACAAGTCCGAAGTCCCAGAGTCAACGAAACTTACGTCATATTTCTGTAGAATTTGCTGAGCTCTGGCTTTCCAGTGCTCACTATTCTCCTGTAATAACTTGACTTGCTCTTCTTTGGCTTCTCTCTCCGCTTCGAGAGAACTCACTTGATCTGTTCGGGAAGAGTTAGTTTCAGGTGAATTTCATGCGAAATGACAGTTTACATTACCTTCTAGAGGCCGAATCTTCGCCACAAGTTCGTCAACCTTTCCAGTTAGTTCATTAACCTTTTTGGCCCTCTTCTCACAGTCACTTCGCAGAGCGCTGTTGCTCTCCCGTAGGATGTTCAATTCTGAGATTCTTTCCATTAAATCCTTATGTTGCATGGCCCCACGAAGTTGAGCAGATTCACGCTCTCTCTCCTGCGCAAGCAGCAACTTATTCTCATCCAAGGCAGTCTTAGTATAATCAAGTTGTTGTTTGAGCCGCCTGTTTTCCTGTAAACACAAGTCGTATTGGACATCCACAATCTCCTTTTCGTTACGAAGATATCTGAGGACCTCTCGGAGATCCTCAAGACCCCTGTCTGTTGTAGGTTGTTCTCTGAACTCATTGTAATCATCTGAAGCGGCACGAGATTTCTTGATTTCCGATATTTGGGTGTTGACGTTCTCAAATTGGTCGAGCAAAATCTTGTATTGCTTGGAAAGGCCCTCGGAGTGCTTTTTGGTCTCCTCGAGCTCTTTGACGTACATTTCCTTCTGAGATTCCCAGCTAGACTCGGATGCTGCAAGGTTGGCCTTCGCTGTTTCTGCCTCAGACTTAATCTGATAGACCTCGGCTTTAAGATTGGAGTGCTCCTCGCGAACTTGTTGCAGTGCCTGAGCAGCCCCGGCGTGCTTGACGAGCTCGCGCTCATAATTCTGCTGGGCGTCTTGGGCGATGCGGGCTTGGCTTCTTAAGTCTTCTTGATAGCAAGAGACGGCCGCGATATTTTTCTCGGCATCTTCTTTCAAACCACTGATCTGAGATTGTAGAAGGTTCCGCTCATCTTCGAACTGCTGTCGCTTCTCGAGCTCCGCTTGCCGGAGGTCAGATAACTCTTGATTAACAGATGCCAATTCATTATTGGTATCCTCAAGTCTCTGCTTAAGGTCATGAATCTTGTCCTATACTAAAAGTTAGGATCACAAAATGGCCATACACACGCATCCTTCATGACTGGGCATACCTCTTGCTCACTTGCTTGTTGCTCCATACTCTCTTTGTATGCATCGTAAGTATCATTAATGCTCGCGAGTTCCTCCTCGCCGCCCAGAGCAATCAATTTGTATTGTTCAACCTGTGTCTTGAGGTTGTTGATTTCGTTGGTGGCATCGTTCAATTGACCTTGTAGTTTATCGCACTCATCTTGCAGCACCCGTAGTCGATATTCCGAGTCTTCATCATCATCTTCTCCTTCTAGCCTAGAGGCGACTTGAGGCTGAGATGACTGGATGGCTAATTTCTCCTCCATGGACTTCAACTGACTCGTTAACTCTTCCACCCTGGATTGAAGGTGGGTCTCATTTGTCTGGGAAGCGACAAGAGATTCCCTTGTAGAAGCGAGTGTGCTGTTCAGATCATCAATCTTTTTCTGGGCATCTCGAGCATCGATCTCCTTCCGAACGGCGAATTTTTTTGCTGCCTCGATTTCCTCATTTAGCCTGCGTTTTATTTGTTGAATTTCAGTTTCGAGTTTCTCGTTCTGGCTGTTGAGGCGCCTTTTCGTCTCTGACTCTTCTCGTTCCCGTTGAGCTTGCATAGATTGAAGATCAGCGATAAGTTCGTTCAGTCGGGTTCGCTCTTGACTAAGGGCTTCATTATCCTGGGCAAGGCGTTGTTCGATATTCCTCCAAAGATTCTTCTCCGCCTTAAGATTGGCAGTTTCGTTACGCATCCCCTCAAGTACAGACTGAGAATCCGCAAGGTCTTCCGTAAGCTTTCGGTTCATCGCATCCTCTTTAGCCTGGGCCTCTTGTAAGGAAGCAATGCGTTTCTGAAGCTCTGTATTCTCCATTCTGAGAACATTGAAGTTTCCATTGAGCATTTCATATCGGTCTGTTGAAGTGGCTATTAGTATAGAATACGATACGTAACGGGGAAATCCATACCATTAGCCAACTCAAGTTGAGAAGCCACTGTTCGAGCCTTCACCTCTAATTCTGTCTTTTCCTGGGCTAGTCGCCTGGTTTGGTCATTTAGAGTCGTGTGGTTTTCCAACGCCTCTGTCTTAAATTGGTCGTATTGTGCCTGAAGTTCCCGAAGGAGCTCCGCAAGATTTTCTGGACCTTGGTTGGAAGTTGCTCCGGCTTCGGGGGCGGACATATCTTGATCATTAATGTTGCTATTTGCGAGGAGATCACCCTTGTTCTGAAGCATGCGACGGAACATATCGCGTTCACGAACAAACGACTGCGCCTTCGCGCCCAAAGCCGTGAGCTCATCTCTAAGCTTTGCCACAACACCTCTTAGCTGCGCAATCTCTGTGCCTTCCTTCCCTAGCTGTTCACTCTTCCTATCTTGTTCCTTCTGTTCCATCTTCATGCTCAGCTCCCGAATAGCTTTAAGCAACTGCTCGTTTTTGTCCTGGAGCTCTCTGACACCGCGGAATATGGTCAATTTTTGCGAAATTATCCTGTCTGTATCTGCTTCGGCCACATCACGCTCGGCTCCGGTGATTATTTGTTCGTAGACCTCGTTTTGGGCCGCAGAGAGGGGATCAGCTCCAGAGTCGCGGTGCTCTATCTCGACCAGGAGAACTTGAACTTGGATGCTTAGGTCGCGGAGCTGCTTTCTAAGGACAACAACCTCCCGTTCAGTATCCTTAAATTTCAGGGAAACGGTTCTCGAGTCCTTTTCGATCCGTTCGCTTTCTTTGTGGGCCTTATCAAGTAATTCGCTCATTTCAATCAGGTCCTTCTGCAATCTTGCATCCTCTTCACGAAGTTCCTGAATTTCAGGGGCTTTCTGTTCCAAGTCCTGCATCACCTCCTCGATAGCTTCCTCTAACTTGGTATTCCTTCGCTTCTCAGCTTCATAACTAGCTTTCATAGCCATATAGTCAGAGTATAACTGGGTTACAGAAATGCCAGACTTTTGGAGCCTCATTGCAGCGGGAGAGGCCAGATTCAACCCACCGGGCGTTCCAGCTGCTGATCCTGGGCGGCGATTTGGTGTGGAATTTCCGTTAATACTTCCCCGAGAGCCAGCATTAAATAGGCCAGTGGCATACGCAGAAAGGTCAGCCTCCAATCTCTCCACTTGCACCTCTAGCTGTGAAACACGAGTTATAGCAGCATCCTTCTCTGCCTGCTCTGTTTCGGCTGCTGCACGGGCCCGGCCAATTTCCACGCTTTCACGCTCGTGTTCTTGTTCTAACAATCGCTCCAAGTCGGCTACTCTTGCCCTTGCGCTCTTAGTAGACTGCTCGAATAGTTCTGCCAATCGCTGTTGTGAATGCATTTCATTTCTGAAGTTTTCCTCCTGGAGCACTGCCTTATTCTGGAGGTCTTGTACTTTAGCCAGGGCATCGTCAGCCTTCTTAGATATTTCGTCAAAACGTTGCTTCAAATTATCCGAGTTGCGCTGTGTAATATCCACCGAACTCAATGCTTCATCAAGTTCACGTTGCAAAGCGGAGTTTTGAGCAGCCTTTTCCTTCCTGAATTTCTGGAATTCCGCAACCTTAGTATTCAATTCGTTCTCCAGCCATGCGTTGTTTTTCTTAAGCAATTCAACCTCTTGGACTAGGTTTTGCTCCTTAAACCTGGAAGACGTTTGCGTTGATTGCGCCTGCCGGAGTTGAGTTTCGAGAGAGCTAATCTCCCGGCGTGTCTCAATCGATTTGGACTGTAACGCTGCATACTCATCTTGCAGGCGATCGTAATCATTAGCCTTGCGGTCAAGGGCATCTAAAGTGTCCCGCTTATCGGACTCCAACGACTGAACCCGAGTCCTCAATGTATGGACCTCCTCGTCGACAATGGCCCTCGATGATTTGTAATTCTCAAGCTCAGTTTCGACGGCTTTTCGAGCGGTTTCTGGAGGCAGAAGAAACCATTATAAGTAACCAAAATCTACATCAACAATCAAAGGATGCAAACAAACCCGAGTTCTCGAGCTTCGATTTAAGCTCTTGTGTCTCGACAAGACTTGCGTCCAACTGCTTTTTCATCCCCTTGACTTTATTATCGGTGGTACGAACGGATTGCTCTAGTTCAACTTCGATCCGGAGTTTGTCCGCCCGCAAATCCTCATACTCCCTAGCCCTATCATCGATAGCCCGGAGAACCGAAGTTATGTAGTCCTCGGTGATTCCAGCAAGAGAAGAAATGACGTCCTCTCCTACTAGGAGAAAAGTGGAAAGGCGTGTAACGTCGATGGCACCGCCTCCCTCGGGGGAAGGGGTCAGTACGTCGACCGACGCCATGAATGTGGTGTAAGAGTTGAAGATTAAGCCAGGCCAAATGCTCCGGTAGGCGTGGATGAATGGCTCGAAGGGATTTTAGCACTGAGAAGATACTGGAAACTGGGGGAGGGGGGGTGGTTGTGGGGAAAATATATTACTAAGTTTAGTGGTCGTAAAAGGTGTTATTGCTGTGGGGGTGCTTCGTCGGGAAATATTATGTGATGGACGGCTACCGCGTGTTGGGGGTAGAAGAGTTGAAAGTGAAGAAAAGTTGGACGGTCGACGCGACAGAACGAGGGAGAGAAATCGAGGGCTGTCACCCTCGCAGAGCAACTCCGCCTTTAGGTAGGGTAACTAGCAGAGAATTGTCTGAGAACTTTGCTATTGGCGATGAGGCGGGGGCCAAAAGGCCAATGAGCAGCCACCCACCTTGCATGATGAAATTTACTATGGTGTGTACGGTACTATTACAAGTACTCGTACAGTACAGGTATTGCTATGCCACTTCAACACCCTGCTCGAGTTCTCGAGTATCATAGAATGGTAAAGTTAAGTTATGTATCATAATAATATTATTATCATGTGCTCGTATACTCGTGCACTCGAGCATGGCGCCACAGAATCTATGATACCTTCACGACCTGGTGGTTGTGTTTTTGCTAGCGGATCCCGCTTAAGTTTATGGTATTAACCTCACGTCACCCAACTTTGACGGATATCCCAACTTGCGACAACGATACCTATAAATAGAATTCTTAAAACCCCTTCTGCAGAGTCTTCCTAATTGGCTATTGGAATATATGATGTTTAAAGAGCGATATTCTTTTTAGTCTGGCTGGTGTTCTTAGGCCCACAAAGTTTCTATGGCAAGGAGGATAGTGAGGTTTGTATGAGAAAAAGGGTTTGCTTAATAATTAGCCAAGAGATTCCTGATTAGGTATCATATGATATATCACAGGATTGAGTCAGGTGGGCTCTAGTCTAAGGCGCGGGCGCCGTTGTATCATCATGCCCGCGGTAGAGGGAATAACGAATTCGTAAACAGGAGAGATGTAATTATTTATGTGCTCGAGTACTGTACAGTGGATGCGAACCTTTCGGATAAGTTTGAGATGAGTTTACTCAAGTACTTGTGTCCGAATGCCACGGAGTATCATACCTCCTACACCAGTATGGTAACCCAACTTCCGGACTGATAGGTGAGAACCCAGTGAGGTGTGCTTGGTCTGATCCTGGACAAACGGAGTATCATACGGTAATTGGCATTCAAACTTTCCCTGTCCGGACAAATTAGCACTATTCACCACAAACTCTCCATGGCAACCAAAGTAAATAAAAAAATAATAAAAAAAGGCCTTCAAAACTGTCTTGGCATTCCCCTGTTGCCAGCAACCAAACCAACGAATCAACGAAGCTTTCTTCCACCGCTCTTTTTCACACGACAACGCCTTAACCTCCATCTACCTCATCCGATATCCTACCCCTTCCTATCTTTGCTCCTAACCCCACTACCCAACCACCCCAACCATATACCCTCTGTTGTTATCAATAGAGATACATCCCCTCTTATAGGTATATCTTCCATCTCCCCTCGTCTTACCCCTCTCTTCGTCCGTCCGTGCGATTGCTTACATTTTTTTCCCTCTGCCTGTTTAGGAGAACATTCACAATGGCTGAAGAAGAACCCGACTACTCCAACCTCCCTCTCACTGACAGAGCAGTTCACAAGGTCTGGAAAGTCCGCAAAGCGGCCTACGAAGAAGCGGCTGCGTAAGTTTTATTGGTGATTTCCATCACTCGGCCATGGACTAATTACTCACTTCCTGTAGCGAATTTGCAAAATCGCCCGATGAAGGTGCACCATGCTTTCGAGACTGGCTTATGGATTCTGGTCTCTGGAAAAAAATTGTCCTTGATTCCAATGTTGCTGCCCAACAAGAAGGTATCACTGCGCTCTGTGCCTTCTTACAATACGGTGGAGTGAACGCTTGTCTACGGTACATGGATCCAAGGATCTCATCCTATGCTTGCTTGAGGGATATCAAAACTAACAGTGATTTGTTTTATTGTTTTGCAGATCCCGGTCCCACACGATCTCTCCGCTGGTCGAAAAGGGACTTTCTTCTACCCGTGCAGGGACCAAACAGAAGTCTCTTGAGGCTGTCCTTTTATATATAGAGCTTGACACACCCGGCCCCGTATTAGATGAATTGGCTCCATATCTCTCACACAAAATGCCTAAAATCATTGCGGCTACCATTACAACCTTTACCTCAATATACTCAGCTTTTGGTGCACGAACAGTAGATCCAAAGCCTGTTCTTAAAGCGCTCCCGGCCTTATTTGGTCATGCGGATAAGAACGTCAGAGCAGAGGCTACCAAGTTGGCTATCGAGTTATACAAATGGTTGAAAGATGCAATGAAACCCATGTTTTTTAATGACTTGAAGCCTGTTCAACAGAAGGAACTCGAGGAGGCTTTTGAAAAAGTCAAGGATGAGTCCCCAAAACAAGAGAGACTATTACGGTCCCAGCAAGCTATGGCAGGTGGCGAAGAAGAGCAAGAGGAGGAAGAAGTCGAGGCGGATGTGGATGCATTTGATTTGGCTGAGCCTGTTGACGTTCTTTCAAAGCTTCCAAGCCAGTTCCATGAGATGATTGCTTCAACTAAGTGGAAGGATCGGAAAGACGCATTGGAATCACTGTTTGCCTTGCTCAATGTTCCTAGGATTAGGGACGGAGATTTCAATGAAATTATCCGGGCCTTGGCAAAATCCATGAAAGATGCAAACGTGGTGGTTGTGACAGTAGCTGCTAACTGCGTAGAACTACTCGCAAACGGATTGAGGAAAGCTTTTGGGCGGCATAGGTCCTCAATCATGACACCTATTCTTGAACGCTTGAAAGAGAAGAAACCGACCGTAGTAGAGGCACTGGCTAAAGCCTTGGATGCAATCTTTGGCGCGGTATGCCCCCCGCTATTATGTTGCGAACACATTTGTCCAGCGCTCTTACTAATAGCCACCAAAGACTTCTCTTACAGACTGCCTCGAAGACATTCTAGAATATATGAAGCACAAAAACCCGAATGTTAAATTGGAGACATTGCGATTCTCTAGGGGTTACAGGAATGGGACTAGTAGAGGGACAGGCGG